ATAAAGTAGAAAGCTTATAATGATCTAAACCTCGAGAACTATACGTAATTAATATTTGAACTGCAGCAACAGAAACAAGAAAAAGAGTTCGGCCAACTTCACTCCTTGCTCATCATACGTGCCGCTTCTTCCATTTGCAACATAAATTCCTGAGATTAAAAATTACCTAGCACTCTTAACATATTTGCATTGCACCCACATACGATACATTTTCACTAACTTGGCCCTATTAACAATCAGCCTTCGATCGAGTATATTCACAACTTTTTCCAGTCCTGCTTCAGTGAACAGCCGGTGCAGTTCTTCTTGTGTGAAAAAATAAACCAGTGTACCATCACCACGTCGATAAAAATTCTCATCGATTAGGCGATTTTTCTTGAACCGTAATTGTGTCATATCAAATTGCGCATAGTCTTTCAATAAAAGAGCACCTCCAGGTTTCAACAATCTAAAAAACGAGTTATAAACATTCATCTATATGAATTACTAAATAAACATATCAAAATCGGAAACTTTCTGCAAATTCACACTCTCTGTAGAACTGAGGTATTTATAAAGTGTATCGAATGTCAGCATCATCTTCTGAGGAATGCTTACAAGCAAACTGATGACTGTTTGTATAAATGAATTCTGGAAAATTCAAACTGCCACATGTGTGGCGCGTGGTAGATGTCAGCAAGTTGCAGCACATTTCTAATGAAGAACTATATTTTCAGTCTAACATGAATGACATTAATCAAGCGATTATAATAGATGAAAAGCTACGCTTGCCATGTAACAGAAATGAAAGAAAGCAGAAAAGACAAAACTGGGCTGCTCAGTGAAGACTTGGAAAAAAACAGTACCGAGAATGGTAGCTGAGGGAAAAAAAGTCATCAGAACCCTGGCAATACATTCAACAAACTCTAAGTCAGTGATAAAAAAGATGACAGCTGCATCGACGGCGAAGATAAACAGTACGACGATTTAACAGGCCAAAAACAACTGTGAACTTTTTCATAAAAATACCAAGCCCACTGCATCGGTTCATTTTTCTTTCTGCATGGTACTGAGGTTTTTATTACCAAGTGTTTTGGAAATTTTTTGAAAAATTTTGAAAAATGTAAACTATGGATGTTTGTTTGGCGCTGTAGGCCAGCCAATGA